AGCATCATGGGGCCCCCCAGCAGCCTAGGTCTATAGCAGCATAACTAAGGGAAGGTTCAGGGTCACCTGATCCAGCCCTAACTATAAGCTTTATGTAAAAAGGAATGTCTTAAGTCTAGTCTTAAAGGTAGAGAGGGTGTCCGCCTCCTGAACTGAGACTGGGAGTTGGTTCCATACGAGAGGAGCTTGATAGCTAAAGGCTCTGCCTCCAATTCTACTTCTGTGGACTCTAGGAACCACAAGTAAACCTGCACTCTGAGAGCGAAGTGCTCTATTAGGATGATAAGGCCCTACGAGGTCTTTAAGATATGATGGAGCCTTGTCATTAAGGGCTTTGTATGTTACAGTAGGAGGAGGATTTTAAATTCTATTCTGAATTTTACAGGGAGCCAGTGGGGAGAAGCTAATATGGGAGAGATATGATCTCTCTTGCTAGTTCCTGTCAGTACTCTGGCTGCAGCATTTTGGAGTAACTGGAGGCTTTTTAGGGAATTACACAAGTAATATCTATGCCCTGTAATATTTATTTTCCTTTTTTTTCCAGTACTTATCATCGCTCTTTCCTTCCCCATTTCCTTGTCCTACATTTCTCTGTCTGTCATATACTCTCAATTCTGTCTTCTCTCCTCTCTCCCCCCTCCTCAATCTCATCCTGTGGCTGTTTTCAGGCTTGTGGAGGAAGTGAAGCTTCGGGTCAGTAGCTGCCAGCTGCAGAATGAGGATGTCTACATGAATGCCACCTTCCAGGATTTCATCCAGATGTGTGTCAGAAAGCTCAGAGGGGAGGACAATGAAGAGGAACTGGTTGTGGACTACGTGAGTGCAATTTAAATTCATAGAACTGTTGCAATGGATATTTGTTAATGGCCAAGGGAAGATAATGTGTCAATTTTTACCATGTACACTGTTTAATTTTTCAGGTTGAGAAGAACATCAACAATATGACTATAAAAATGCCTCATCAACTGTTCATCAATGGAGAGTTTGTTGATGCAGAGGGGGGAAAGACCTACAAGACCATCAACCCTACTAATGGCACAGTAAGGGACAAAAAACAGACATAATGAAGACAAAATGAACACAACTATTACTTTACAGTATGAGTTCTGTCTATAGCACAGTTATCTCTGTCTTTTACTTTTTTTTTCATTTCTGGGCAGTAGAAGACCAATGATAGTGGCTGTAGCCTTTGATGGGTTCCTAGGCAACAAATGTGATTAGATATAATTTCACATTAGAATACCTGCCCACCATTTACAGTTTATAATGTTATAATACTAACAAACAGGAAGGAATTTGTTTTGGTCAAATTGGAATATCACTGTTCTCTCCTGTATCACCTCCAGGCCATCTGTGACGTGTCATTGGCCCAGATAAGTGATGTAGACAAGGCAGTAGCTGCTGCCAAGGAAGCCTTTGAAGAGGGAGAGTGGGGCAAAATGAATCCCAGAGACAGGGGCAGACTCATGTACAAGTCAGTAACTCTACAGCTTTAAATGCCCTGAAAATGTACTCTCTTTATTAGCTTTTGACTTTGAGTGATAGGATCCTACATGAACACACACTTTTCAGCCAAAGTTAAAACTATTTCATATGTGCAGTTGCTGTGATACTTTATTTCTCTGAGCTCTTCTGAGTGGTTTGAAGTGGACCAGGCTCAGTTGAATTCAACAAAGTAGATAGAGAAGTCCTGGTTTCCAAAAGAAAGGCGAAAGGAGATAAAGGTAAGCTAAATAAAGTGACAAAGAGTGTAAAGGAATTTACATCTGTTTCTATAAGCCCACCACACTAGCTGCCTGGTGACATCGCATCCTGGCTACTGTGTGCGTTGGTGGATGCGACACTCTGTGATGCAGCAATTGTGTTTTGAACTTTACACTTTGTGTAATATGGTGAACTCACAGTTTAGATTATCGGGTAATTATTAGCTCTGTGGTTAAACTGTCACACTTATAAATCTGTAGTGATTTGTCCATGGTAAGATTAATGGTAAAGATTAATTAACACGATACATACCAGTTGTTACTATGGCAACCTGCACACTGATTTAGGGCCATGAGTGGGCAAAGCGGCCAGTTCACCCTGTGGTTGTTCATAATTTGCATATTTGTTTAGGATTTGGTGCCATTAAGTACAATATACTGTATACCAAAATGGGTCTTAGATTTTACCTGCTTGTATCATGTGTCAAAATCCAACTCTGACCTTAATTATTTTTGTTCATTTTTAGTTTGCCAATTTTAGGTTATGCACAGATTGATCACAGTTTGACTGCCTCCCTGTCCACAGGCTGGCTGACTTGATGGAGCAGGACCAGGAGGAACTAGCCACCATTGAAGCCATTGACTCCGGAGCTGTTTACACTCTGGCCCTCAAAACTCATGTGGGCATGTCCGTCCAGACCTTCCGCTACTTTGCTGGCTGGTGTGACAAGATCCAAGTAAGCTTTTAAAAGCAGATACAGTAGCTTTTAAAGCCTGCGAATGTCACTTATAAAATGAGATTAACCTTTGATGAATGGTAATTGCTAATAAGCAATAGAATAAAGAAAAATACATGAAAATTAATGATATCCTTTTTATACAGGGTAGCACCATCCCCATCAACCAGGCCAGACCCAATCGTAACCTCACCTTCACCAAAAAGGAACCAATAGGGTGAGAAATTGAGAGGTGGATTTTCTATTTAGACAAATTTTAAGCACATGTTGTTTCACATGTTGAGTAGTTAGAAAAGGATTACATTACATATGTTATTTCTGATTATATTGTAATTTTTCACTGAAACAGTTACTCTGTATTCTCTTCATATGCTAAGAATGGACACAGCTCTGTGGCTGTCCAGTGTGCCTAAAAAGTTGTGCAGATCAAATGCTCTGGTTGCAGTTCTCCATGAGGATCAATAAAAATGATTACAACTTAATAGACTCGAGACTGGACCAGTGACAACTGAAAACAGGTTTGTTGAGAACTAAGAATAGGTTGGTGATGTCTGGAGATGCAGATGGCATCTTGGAAAGATGGCAGCCAGGGCAGCATTGGTTAGCATCCCCTAAGCACACCTTCTGTGAAGAAGGGCCCAAAGCAAGCTATGGATAAAAAAGGAGCTATACCCCCAGGGGCAAGGAGGTTGAGCATCCCAGCCAGACAGATACAATGTTAACAACAAAAAGCAATGGATGTGATGATGAGCACAGAGTTTTTGTGTGGCAAGATTTGTAAAAACAAGAGAAGTGTAAAGATACACCTCTCAATGATGAAATGCAAAGAGCAACTGTAAAAACCATAATGCATAGGCCAAGCACCTAGTGAGACAGAGGAGGAGCCAAGTCCCTTACTTGAGTAAAGGACTGAGTAGTTCTTCTACCACTGATTCTAAATGTACCTTAAAGGGACACCGAGGTAACTGTGATTACTGAGAGAAGTCCAGTAGTCTCTGGTGAGCGCAGCCGCGTTCATCTGTCCCAACACCTCCTCCACTTTAGCTTTCTCGTTTTCATACAAGTTGTGTATCTTGGTTAAAGTGGTGGCTCTTGAAAGCAACTTATACATCCAGTCTTTGGATGTGATGTGAATTATTTCAAGCAGACCCTCATCCTCCACAATGTTAAAATGACATCACAGACACCAGTGCATCATTGTAGATTTTTTTTAAAAAGACACCAAATCAAATCAAATTTTATTTGTATAGCGCCAAATCACAACAAAAGTCATCTCAGGACACTTTACAAAGTAAGGTCTAGACCTTACTGTTATCACTATTATTACATAGGGAAAACCCAACAAATCCCCCTTGAGCAAGCACTTGGCAACAGTGGGGAGGAAAAACTCCCTTTAACGGAAGAAACCTCCGACAGACCCC